TTTAAGAATAAATACATAAAAAAAATAGTGTATTTTTAAGTATAAAATTTATATAAAACATAAGAAAGAATTATTTAAATACAAAATTTTGTTTAGAAAATTTAGTATTTTTTTTAATTTTTTATTTGATATATTTTAATAGACTCGTATCGTATCATGAAATATTAAATTAGAATGATATTATTTTATTCTATCTATAACGTTGCATCAATAACTAACTGGAAAACCAAAATTCTTGACAAATATATTTTAGATGATATTACTTTTATTATTTAAAATTTGTTTATTAAATTTATCATTTCTCATAGAGATTGTCATCTAATTAATTGTAATTGTAATTTTTATTTTTAAAAAATTTTTAATTATTGATAAATATGATTTATTATTCTCCATGTATGAATTTTTAGATAAAATTTTAGAATGTGATTATATATATATATTGTCCGGAGGATTTTATCGGATTACAAAAAAATTATAAATCTTTTTTTGTTAAAAATCCATGAATTTTTATATTTTTTAAATTATTATAAGTTTTTATTTAAATAACATAATAAATAAGAAAAAATCGTGTTATTTTTAACGAAAAATTTATGAAAAATATAATGAATAATTAGTCAAATATAAAATTTTGATTAAATTTGATTAAAAAAATAGAATGATTTTTTTTTTAATCTTTAGTTTAATATATCTTAAAGGATTATCAGTATAACAGCTTCAAATTAAAATTATTTTATATATTCTGTCCAATCTAAAGCTTAATACGAGTTAAAAACTAGTTGTTTGTCAAGCAAATTTATTTAATCGGTTATTTCTTCAAATATTGCCCTACGTACGGGTAGAGGCAGGTGGAAATCCCTAACACTTTCTCATGTCTGTACAATGTCTACGAATCCAATCTCTAGAATTTTTTTTTAATGAATTTGGTCTCTTTGTGAGGGATCAAGTTCATCTTTTTCTTGGTGTTTTACCAAGTTCATCTTTTTCTTGTGAAGTGACACACATGATTTTTACATACTTTTTAACGAAGCTATTATTAAAATTTAAAAGAGGTGTAAATCCAAACACATTATAGTTTAACTACTAAAATCAGAAAAGGAAAAAAAAAAAAAAGTGCTTTAAGAATAGGATTGATCATGCTCGTACTTACTCCAAATAAAAGAATAGGAGAGGTATATGATTCATACGATTTATTTTACTGTTATTATATTATACAAAATACTTGGATAAAACAAAAACAAAAGCAAAAGCAAATCTGATCCTGAATTAAATTACAGTTTCTTTTCAGTTTATATGCATTTTTAAATATAATTTTAAAACGTTATGAGTTTGAGTAACAAAATATTGACTATCTTAATAATTTTAAACAAAAAGGGGATTATAAATGTAATTTTAAGATGTTATGGGCTTGGGATGAAAATATTGAGCACCTTATTATTGTTTTTTTCTTTTTTTCTTTTTTTAAAAAAGCATTCTAAATGTAATTTTAAAATGTTATGAGCCTGAAAGAAAATATTAAGAATTTTACTAATATTTTGACAATTAAGGTACTACATTGAAGAAAAAAAAAGAAAAAAAGAGAGAGCATATGTATATATTGCAATCTTTTAAGGAAAAATATCTCCATACCAAACATCCATCATCTTTTTTCTAGTTTGCAAATTAAAATCACGAATTAGAGTCCAAAGGTTCTTAAATTCATTAGTTTCGCTCTCTCGTCACTCTTTAATCCTTAGGTGAGTTGAATTTTATTCCTTCTCCTCTTATCTTTCTTCCTCACCTGAGTTCTCTTTTCACTTCCACCTTTTTTTTATTCGTAGATGACCTTAATTGATCTGTGTACATAGGTACAATATATATGTTCAATCTCGTTACTTATAAAGGATTTTTGTTCAATTTAATGACAACGGAGTGTCTACAAAAACTCAGATCCGATATTTCAAATTAGATTATTTAGAAAGGTAAAAAAATAATTAGTCTTTTTTTAAATTTTTTTATTCTTTATTTATCCTTTTTACATAAAAAATTTTATTTGGGTTTTATTTTGGTACTTAGTTAATTTGGATCAATATTTAATTAGGTCTATAATTAAATAAAAATATATAATTATTTTAAAAGTTCATATTTAATTTGGACTAGATTAATTAGTTCTTATTAATTTTGGATTGGTCTCTTAAGTTGTTGAGTTTAAATTAGTTTAAAAAGTTTATTTGGAGTATTTTTTCTATTCAAAGTTGTTTTCCTATTTGGATTTTAACTAGGGTTTTTAGAAGCTAGTATTTAAGCGTATACTACTTTTATAAGCATATGAATAAAATCTGTGAGATATTTTTTTTTTCCGAACTTGTTTTTTGGACTAGGACGTGGCAACTGTAAGTATACTGGCCTGTCTTTGTGGTGATGAGCCCTACTTGCATATTTATTTATTTATTTTATTGAAACTTGTTTGCATTGGATTAATCATAGTAAGTTTAGGTTTAATCTATCCGTCATTTATTTTAAATGCCAATGAAGCTAGATGATCAATATTAATGATGTCTGATTTTGATAATTATCGTATCCTTAGTGTCTGTTTCATAAAAAAAAACTCGTTTCTGAGTGTATATATATATATAACACAATTGAGATTTGAGAATTTGTTGTACTTTTTGTTTAAAATTACATGTGGACTTTAGAAGTTCTCTAAAAAAAAATGAAAAAAAGACGACTTTAGATAGAAGTTTGGAGTTTGGATGCTATGAATGCTAGTTTTATGAAAATAAATTACAAAAATAAAATTGCCTAAAAAGAAATATTGGGTCTAGTGGAATTACAAAAATGCACCATATTTTACTTGAAAAGGACCACGAGCATGGGCCAAACGGTCCCACCCACTTGGACCAGAATGCACCCTTCCTGTAATGGCTTTCTAGTTTGATCTGTACTCGCCTAAAATTCCAAAAAGGTCCCCCTCCCAAAAAATTTGTCCATTGCTTCATCTCCTCCTTCATAAAAACAATAACAGAGCGAGAAAGAAATGCAGGGTTTTAATCGAACCCTGTTAATTTTTCTTCCTTATGTCTCATCAAGTATGAAAAATCTCTGTTAAATTTCCCTGGTTGATAAACTGGTAAGGCCCATGTTGTAAACCGTTTCTCTTCTTTTGTTTTGTTTTATTGGTGTTGAAAGTTGTTAGCTTTGTTTAATTATTGGATTACATGAAACTTTGATTTACATGGATCGGTTGTTTCTTGTTTCTTTTGATTGGTAGGAATGTTACTTTCAAAATAAAAAACACAAGTGGGCTTTGGTTGTCTTCTCTCAATCTACTATTAGCTATGGAATTTGTTTGCTTCTTTTTTTGTTGAATCTAAAGGTAAAAGAATCCAAAATTTTAGAGTTAGGTTTTTGAGTTTTCTTTGAAATGGGTATTTATTTCTAGGAATTATCATTGACTGTTTTTAATTGTTTTTTGAATGTTTTTGTGATTAGCGTTAGCTGAAAATTCGTTGCAGTTTCTGTTAGGAATAATAGGATAAGCCTGGTACTGTTGAACCTAGTGCTTTCGAAGCAGATATAGTGAGTTTATGGTGAATGGAAATTTTACTGGTGACTGATTGAAGCACATCAATTTGACTGGTGTATTTGAGTTTTCGTTAGTTAATGTTATGTGGGTGATTTTGAGATTGAGCTTGAGTCCGAAGGGAGAGTGTTTGATTTATTTCAGATTATTGGTCTATTATTTCTGTATAAATATCACTGTTTGACTGGAACCTTCTCTTGGCAAAGATGAACTGAAATAAATGCATAGGTTTGGACAAAAAGAAATGTTGCCACACACTTGAGTGTGCACATATGCATGCAAGTTAACATCCATAAAGAAGCTTGGATGTGAAATAAGAATGGGTGTGGTAGAAAGTTGTTGCAAACATTGAATTAGCTCTCTATACATTCACATCCCTTGCACCACTGAAGGTGGTGGAAGATTAGAAGTCGTATTTGCTACATATGCCAGAAAAAAAGTTTATGGTTCAATTTTCCCAACTAGTAGTTACTGCATAACTGTTTATTTGTTTGCAAGTTTGACTTAATAGCTTAATAGCTTCATATTGAAATTATAGGGCTCAGTTAGGGTAGTGACATTCTTTTGCTTGTGCATGAGGGTGAGTTGTCAGCTTTCACATATCGAATAAATAATAACAAGATTTGATGGGCGAAGATAAGAAAATTTTGGGATAACTAATTTCTGTGGGTAATGATTGGTAGGCATTAGAATTTGCAAATCACATCTAGTTCAGTTTCTTGGTACTTGTCATTGTCACTATTTGTTCCACTGCTTCGGCTTTGTTAACTGTAGCTGCAAGCTAGCATTGCATGTGCACAATGCAAATTGTTTTAAGAATGCAGCTTGCTCAAACAATGTTGAATGTTCTTTAACCTGTGAATTTATTTGTTTAAATGGGAAACAATGAAAGAGCAGCATGCATGCTGAAGCGATCTATCCTGACAGTTTTGTTATTGGCAAATATGGCCTTATTGTTGGATCATTTTAGCCTTTCCTTTTCTAGCTTGCATTTGGGATTACAAGAGGTGGTGTTCTGTCTAGAAGATCTGGAACTGGGAAGTCAATTTTTTGGCATCCTTTTTTTCATTCTGGATTACTGACCCTTCTTGATCATCCTAATCTGCTTCTTGCTTTTTAGAGATTGTAGTGTAGTATGATGAAAAAAATAATATTATCTGTTTTGACATGCAGGATTAAACACCAAACTACTCTATTATACATAATCAGATTGCAGTGAAAAATCAAAATGGATGCCAGATGGAACTTGACAGCCTAAAGTACACGAAATTTGTTTTGATTCTCATTTTTTATCTTCCAGGTGAAATACTTAAAAAATATTAGCAAGAGGAGACGATCCAGTTCCAGTATGAATTAATTGTTAATGTTACTCCTTGTATGATTCAGCTTCTACAGCCATTGAAAGTGATGTTGTTTGCATAGTCATTTGTCACCAATCAAAATGTGGAATTTTGCATCCAGTTGCCTAGCTGGAAGTGTTAGATTGAACAACTCTCCAAAGCCAACTCAAGTTCCTTCAGAATGCTCAGATGACGAGGCATCTTCTGTCCTCAGCAGAGAAGAAGGTCTAGAGTGCCCGATATGCTGGGAATCCTTCAATATTGTGGAAAATGTGCCTTATGTTTTATGGTGTGGCCATACTCTCTGCAAAAATTGCATTCTAGGACTTCAATGGGCTGTTGTGAAATTCCCTACATTACCAATTCAGCTTCCTCTCTTTATTTCTTGTCCATGGTGCAATTTATTATCCTTCCGCTTTGTTTACAGAGGGAACCTCAGATTTCCTCGCAAGAATTATTTTCTACTTTGGATGGTTGAGAGCAAGAATGGTGATAGAGACAAGCCTCATGGCACGTTCTGTGAAGATCACCAAACCCACTGGTCATCAGACAGTAATTTAGCCCTTGGAAATCAGGTAAGCCATGGTAACATCAGGAGGGGACAATATGTTCATCACGCTGAGCCATCAGAGACAAACCATAATCATAATCATGTCAACAGTTACCTCAATGTGGGGAGAATTCATTCTTCTTTTCAGAAGTCACTTGTTTTCTTTGTTCATCTGACAGCAAAGTTCCCATTGGTCGTCATATTTCTTTTGATCCTCTTTTATGCAATACCAGCTAGTGCAGCCATTTTGGTCCTGTACATTCTTATCACTGTTCTGTTTGCTCTCCCATCATTTCTCATTCTGTACTTTGCTTACCCTACTTTGGATTGGCTTGTCAGAGAAATCATCACTTGATATGCAAATTAGTATCTCAGTTTGTAAGCATTGTGAATAGAAGTTTGCACCAACAAAGTCGCATATTTTGATCTTGGTACCAGAAACTTGATAATTTGACGACTTGTCAGTGTCCAAGACTATTTCAATTCTTTGGCTTCAAGGCTCAGTCTCGTTATCCTATATCTTCCATGGTCGGAAGTTCTTCGGCTCTTGTAGGATTTTTCTGGTGTTAGGGCTGTATGTAGTTTCTGGAGGCTTGGTGGTAACAATGATCCCACCAAAATGGTCTCTTGGTGGGTATGCAGTGCTTTTGTATCTGAAATAGTAGTCAAGTGTGAGGCCAAAAGCTTGATTTCTTGGTTGTATGGACACTGATGTTTTATTGAATTTTTATTGTGGTTCTATTCAATTTGTGTATAACTCAGAATTCTTTGTGTCATGATGGGTTTTGAAACAAAGAGAAAATACCTGAGTTGTTTCATATGAGTCTTCTGTGTTTGATACTATTTCGATTGAATGCTTTTCAGATTATCTGAAGCTCTTTGGTTTGAAATGAAACTGTTGAGAAAAGGTAGTTTTAGTGTGAATTAGTTTTCATTAAGTCAGCTATACCGGATTATCAGCTCTCGGTTATGCTACGTGAGCGTGCAGGTTTGTCTTGAAAATGCGATGCGAGTGTAAAGTGCTATTTGTGGGAGCACAAGAGAACTACTGGATTTGCCAGTTCTCTATGCTAGTTGTTTTGCTTTTAGGAGGGTTGTAAAACCTAAATATGAAATTTTAAGTCTTCATTCTTGGGAGGGGAAATGTTGATGCTGATAAAGCTGCTACTTTTGAAGATTCTGCCGTTATGTTCTATTCGCCGCTCTGGAATTTTGGATGATTGAATTGCATATATATTACAGTATGCTAAAGAATTATTAAAATCGTATATCCTGAAATCTTCTTGTCACAGATGCATGTGCCAGTCCAATATCTGAAGTTCGATTTGAATTTGGTATGGCTTCTGAGAGTTGCTTAATGGTGTGCAGATTCCACGATAGGGCTAATCAGGATTGGATGCTACAACATAGCCTTACGTAGCTTTCTGCCCTGTTAATTTTTTTTCCACAAAAAATTAATGATTATATATATATATATATATATATATATATATATATATATATATGATATTTTTTTATATTTATACGATATGTTTTTAAATTTTATTACGAATTTTTTTTTCAACTTGTTTAACTATACAAGTCTTTTCTTTCTTTCTTTTTTTCTTTTTGTTTTTTTTTTCATCAATTTAGGTTCTTTTTTATTTAATTTTTTTCAATTTTCAGGTTACTTTATTTTGATCTTTAAATTTTAAAATAAAAATTTTAATTCCCTAAGTGATGCACTCGCTTATGCCTTTTTTTTCCTTTGCTTTTTTTTTTCTTTTCTGTTTTCCATCAATTTATGTTCTTTTTTTTTAATTATTTAATTAAGTGTTAAAATTTTGAAAGATCAATTGTTATTTTTTTCATACAAACTGATGATTATATAATATATATACAATATTTTATACATTATGTGATATGTTTTTAGATTTTAGAATAAATATAAACTACTCTTACTCGTTTAAAATTGATTTTGTTGATAAAGATTCTCATCAAATTAATTTGTATTCTTATTTTTTTATATAATTTTGTTTATTAATAATTATGACTTATTTTCTCTATGTATGGATTCGAATAAGTTTTTTCATACATGTTTTAATTTATTTAATTCTTATATAATCAAAATTTAAAAATTAAATATATGTATTTTATTTTATTATTTTTTATATATTTAAATTTTATCGAAATCAATTTTATAGTTTTTAATGCACTCTATTAACTTCAATATATATTTTACCATTTAATTTTTTAAAATATTTTTCAATTTATTTTATTTGTTCTCACCTATTGAATATGATCATGATGTATTAAAACTAACATTAGAGTCATTGATTTTATTAGAAATCATCTATGCATCTACACACACAATACCAACTATTTGCTATTATTTTTTTAATATTTAATATGATTTTTTCAAATAAAATAATTACAATAATATTTTAGAATAACCGCCTAATAATTCAAAAATAATTTTGCATTTTAATATTATTCATTATTTTGTAAATGAATATATATAAATCAAATGTATGTATTTTTTAAAAAATAATATTCTCATCGGTAATAAGGTTTCATTTGTAAATTTTCATACAAGTTTTATATTAATTGTTGCTTTACTTCTTCGATGCAATGTAATGAAAAAAAATATTATGTTTTTTTTTAAAAAAATTATATAAATTTTTTTTTATTATGGGTTTTTATTTAAGAATAAATGCAAAAGAAAGAACAAATCATATTTTGTTGGCTTTAAAATTTATTCAAAACATAAAAATATATATATATATATACAAAATTTTTATTAAAAATTATAAAATTCAATAATTTTTTATGTTTTATATTTAAGCTAATATATTTTAATTAACCAACAACATAATATATGTTATCAAATTGAAACAAATATGTTTAGTTTAGATTCTCGGTGTAGTTTAGTTCACAGAGTGTAGCGCGAGAATCTAAACTCGTTTATATATCTAAAATTCTTATTCACTTACTGTTCATATGCATAAAATTACTATTCACTTAATGGCAATTTAAATAATTTTTTGGTGTGGTTTTGTTTTATGTGTTTTTGGGCATTAATATGCAAAATTAACACATTTTTTTAATTTTTCGTCCCTCATGTTGTAACATTGTTTTTTTCAATGCTTAGTTTTCATTTTTGTTTTATTTTCATGCTCGTGTGTGTGTGTGTGTGCATATACATTGTCATACCCAAAAACTTTGCATGATAATATATTGTGTGTATATGTGTGCAAATGTGCTTTCTTTATGCATGCAATTTAATATCTTTTTTTATGTGTTTAGATGATGTGATGATTTTAGGTATAGAGTTTTAAGATATATATATTTGGGTATTATAAATAGTATTTTTATAGATAGAAACTAGTTCTACAATCTTAGCCTAAGTTATTAGGAATTAAAAAATTAAAATAATAATAATAATTAATAAAATAATAATAGGTTTTATTAGCTTTTAATGGAATGTTAGTGGCTATGAAAGAAGAGCAAAAGTTTTGAAACATATATTAAAATTAAAGAGGAAACATGAATGGCCATGAAAGAAAAGAAAGTGGCCATAAAAGAAAAATGTTAGTGATCATAAAAGAAAAGAAAGTGGTCGTGAAAGAGAGCCACTTAGTGGCCATAAAAGAAAAAAGTTAATGGTATTTTATTATTTTTAATTTACGCACTCAAAATTCTCAAATGTTTCAACTTCTCATGTCTATATATAGGGTGTCATTCTCCTTATTTAGGAAAGCCATTTCATAAGCTTATATTTCAAGAAAGAGAGAGAGAGAGAGAGAGAATAATTGAGTAAGAAGTGCAATCAAAGGTATTTGAAAAACAATTTAAGTCTTGGTGATTAAATATCGAATGTAAGAAAAATATTTAATTTAATTTTTTTTTTATATGATTTTAGGTAGAATTGATTTTGAAATTTCATGATTTAGGATTGATTATGTAAAAATTATATTTTAGTATTAAAATCTTAAATTTTTATTAGAATATTTATTGATTAAGTGTATTTAAATAAGAATTAAAAAGGTTAAGTTAAAATTTAATAAAATTAGATTATATGAATATAATTAGAGGAGAATTGAATAAATTAGAATAAATTTGATGATTTAATTAGGATTTTTAATTTAAAAGAAATTATAAGAAAAGAATAGGAATTAATAAAAATTAAATGATTAGAGATAAAATAGTAATATTCAATTTCTTATGTTATATGGTGTGTATGTTCAAGGTATTGAATCAAGTCGAGGTATGAATTTTTAGAGAAATGTTATGATAAATAGTAGTCTTGAGCAAATTAAGTAAGTGTAACTCGGCTTATGCGCCCCGTGAGAGAGAAAAAAGAGAGAGATGCTCTCCTTCTTTGGAGTTTTTTCCTCTAGTTCCGGTCGGCGCCCTCTCGGACTCCTCCGTCCGAAAACCTCATCTCACCTCCTAATTCTTCTCCAGCCACCCCTTTCCTCTCTCTCCTCACCGTGACCGTCCACTCCGCCGCCCTTTCCTCCCATTTCATCCTCCCGTGTTCTCTTCTTTCTCTCTCCTCGTTTTTCTTCATCCCTCTCATCTCCCACCTGCTTCCCCCAGCTCTTATGGAAAAGAAAAAAAGAAAGCAAGCTCCCCCTTACCGTAACGCGAGTTCCGGATGAACCGATGGATCGCTCTCGCCGCACCACCGAATCCTCCATGCCATTCTTCTCCAGATCACTCGTTCATAGGAAAACTTATGCCGAAATGTGGCTTCTAGGTCCAAATCCATTGCTCCTCCACCTTCTCCCGCCGAAGAGGAGGTCGGCATCGGCTCTAATGAAGCGAATCGGAATCAAAAGCCGACCTTTTAGAGGAAGAACATGATTAAGATTTCGGTGACAATTTGGGGGAAATTTTGGCTTCCCGTCAAAAATTTTCGCAGTCAAATTTGGCTTCTCGTCGAAAATTTTCAAAGTCAAAATTTTCAGAATTTAAAGACCAATTTGATTCCCGCCGAATCTTTCTAGTTCCACCATTCCCGCCCAGCTTGGTTCTCGAGGCCTTTTCTCCCCTTACTTCGGTCCGGCCCACTCCCTCCCAACCCGTTGGGTCCGTGTCGAAGGTGCGCAAAGCAGTGGGCCCGGAGAGGCCGCTTTTCCTCTATTGAGCTCGGCCGACCCTCCAACAGCTGTTAGCCCCAATACTCGGCTTCCTTCGGGCTCGGGTATTCCTCCCAACCTTACTTCAAAATGGAGAGATTTGTTTGCCACTAATCGCAATTCAACTTTATGCCCTAAGCTCACACACTTCACCGTTATTACCGAAAGTAAATCATGTTTTTTGCTTCGAGGATGACCCGCGGTGTGAATTATGGAAATGTCGCCTCATTGG